TATATTTGTGCTAATCAGAGCTTTTTCATACGTGAATGTCTGACATGTGATGTGACATCAGTGCCGTCCGACTGGTCTCAGCTCAGAAATACTGCAGTGAGCTGGTGTCTGAAACACACACGTAGAAAACAGGTGTGGAAAACATCCTGAGCTGATTCTCCCAGAACGGCCTTCAGTCCTGTCAGCGAGGCAGAATTGGCTGTAACAAGTAAATGCTAGTGTTTTAGAGTACTCAGATTACTTTATTTTAATAGGGTAACATAATAACTTATCAGTTACCAATTACAACGTCATGGTTTTAGGGACCCGTTTGTTTGATTTTTTACTAGATTATTATTGTTAATATTATTAATGGTAGTATCAGTATCGATTCTTAATTTATTATTATTATATTATATATTATTATATATATTTAGTGTCTATCAGTTGCCATAAACCATGTTACAGCCAATCAGGACAGTGTGCTAAATTCTGCTGATATACTTTTAACATTTGCAAGCAAAATTAAGTTGTTATTGCTGAACATCAGTAATAACTCACAGCAGTAACTCAGCAGCCTGAGCTAATGTTAATAGTAAATTTGTTAAAGTGAGTGACTGAGCAGGTCGACCTACAGGGCTGAGGGAGAGCGGGCTGTACTGCCATGATTTTAGGCCTTTCTAAATCAAAGTTTGATGCTTCCCAGTACTGCAGGGTAACAGGTTCATTATTAATAGCCATAGTTTTCAAGGTTCAAGGTTCAAGGTTCTTTATTTGTCACATGCATAGTTATACAAGTATAACACACAGTGAAATTTTGTAATGTTTTGTTTGTTTTGTAATGCAACGCGTTACTTCTATCATATTAGTGGGGGTCATACCATGTTCTCCTGCACTGCTTGTTACTCATATCACTGAGGATCGTTTGTCAGGCCTCCTTGATGGGACCGGGTGACGGATAACAGAAATCTAACCATACAGTGCATTTTACGCCTGCATGGTACTTCATCAAACTAATTCGTTTGCACTTGTCATATGAATGTTTGATTCAAGACATTTAAAACTGACGTGTTTGCGTTCAATACTTAGCAAAACTGTGAGACGGGTGCATGCTGGCCAGAACTGTGAAAATCATCATATTCTTAAGTTAGTCAATTAAAAAGTCACCCATGGACATGGAGGATGGTCACACTACGATGACAGTTATCAACTCTGCAGTTAAACATGATGGTGTTACTGCAACATTTAGTCTGGATGATGGCCTGATGGTGGATGTAGGTACTGAGTGAAACTGAAATCAAACTTAGTAGCCAAGATAACTTTGAATAGTAAGAGATACATGTTAAGACCAACAAGAGTTAAAATGCAGACAGACTCGTTTTTTTACTGGCATGCCAGAGAAAAGAGACGAGAGAAAGAAGGGAAAGGGAAGGAGAAGGGAGGAGGGATAATTGAGGCAAACTTCTGAAGCCAAGCCCGAATAAAGAAAAAGCTACAGTTGTAGAAGAAGCTAAGATGGATGCGATGAATGGGGAAGCGAACATCTGTGTGCACGGTGAGGGTGTGCATGCAGCAGCACAGGTGTAGAGGCAGCAGCAGCATGCTTGCTCGTGAAGAAATGAATGGGAGAAAGGACTTTTATACTAACTGGCATCTCTTTTCCCTTTAACTGGACCAACAGGAGCTCAGCTTTAAGTTTAATGTTCACTGTATCATTTTTTCCTTAATTTTACATTAATAAGCCAAACTTTCCTTCAAGTGAACTGCAGGTTATAACACAGTATGCTGCCATTTGTTTAGAGATTCTGGCTGTTTTTCAGTTTTGTGTAAAATATTAAACTTTGTAGAAGTGACTTTGCAGCCCAAAATCTGTTACGGGGTGTTTGCTTTATCAGCTCACTAGAAAATAAAGATGCTGGTACAATTATGTACTGCAACAGTTTGAATTTTTAAAAATATTTTTAAAAAAATCAATAGGACATGATAACTATAATAATATGTTGCTGTAATCCCTGTAATCTACTAACTGATGTCACTTCTGACAAAATGAGAAAACAACAAACACCGTTAGTGTGAGAGAGGGTCCATGTTTGGGTTTCACATATTTGGATTCATAGAAATCAAGAAATGTTTGAAACATAACAGCAGTGCAGCTGAAAACACAAATGAAGCTACACAGATTTCTGTGAGGCCTTTTAATCTGCATGGTTTGTGATCAAAGTAAAGAAAGACTTTGATTACTGCACAATGTTCGTGTTGGCTGATCAGTGTCTGCTGGGGCTCACCTCCTCCTTATAGTGTTTGCAGTATTAGTGAAATATTTATTTTTTGTTAAGGACATTAGATGACAAATTATCTGGTTTGCTGTGTAGCGCAAATTTTCCACGACTTTGCTTCTATTTTGGTGAGTAAAGTTCAAATATTTTATTAGTCTGTTACTTAACACTAATTAGCAGCTCTGTGTAGGTGTGTTGTCCATATACAGCCTATGAAAGTTGCGAGCGCTAGCTCATAGCTTAGCACTCCAGTCTCATTTATGATAACCTCTGGCTCCAAAAACCCAACACTGGTCATGGGTACACTGCTAAGGCCTCAATATGTTGGTGACCGTCTGCAAACAGAAAATTGCAATGGAAAAATGTGTTGTTGTTGTTGTTGTTGTTGTTGTGGCACTTGCTTGTGTGAAACTAGTCACAGGTGGTCTATGGTACCAAAAACCTCCTTCTGGTTGTTCTGGTCGCTAGTAGGAAGCCGTACTTGGCGTTAGCTTCCATGAAAAATACTCGTCTGCCAAGTAACACTGAAACTGCGAAAACTGCAGCTCAAACTGGAAACAGAGAAGCTTTTTCAGACTTCCACTGCGGGGCACCCTGCTAGCAACCAAAACAATCAAAGAGCTTTTTGGTGCAGCCCTCTCGCTGCAGCTGATTTCAGCCAGCTGTCCAAAAACCATTTCCCCTGCGACCAGATGTTGCTGATGTATCCAAAGGATTTCATGGACTTGTTGCATCACGACACATTTACTGTTGTTGTTCTCGCACAGTTTGCTTTTTTTTTATAGGACTCACATTTAATACATTTTGATGATAACCGGGTTTGACTGGATTGCATTTCTCTTTTTAAATGAGAACTCACTGCAAAAAAGCTTTTTCAGAATCATATAAACACTATTAATTGTTCCAGTCTTCTCATCTATTTACTTTTATTGCTTCTTTAATTTTAAATGTGTCACTTCACCTTGGAAAGTAATCTGTCAGGATTAAATTTAACTTCCCCTTTTTGAACGATCAAGAATAACACAGTTGGTCAAATTAGCTAAATAATGTTATGGAGATTTAAAACTAAGTGCAGCATCGATCGGCACCATTCACTGACCTCAGATATAAAGACAAGGGAAACAAGCGGCACTACAAGGCTGTAAATTCACATATCAGACACAAACACTGGGGCTAGAGCTGCAATTCTCTCCTCTAGTAGTTCACTTCCACTTCTGAGCTCCTCCACATTCTGCTATTAATGATCCAGCAGTAAGAGTCTTGGAAAAAGCTGTAAACATGTCTGAGGCTATCTTTTCTTTCTTTCTTGCAGAGTGTAGTTCTGTAGCAGACGAGAGGAGAGAATGGTGAAAGCAGTGTGAGCTCAGAGCCTGCCGCTCAGCCTAATGATGGTCAGGCAGCAGATGAGAGCTGGGATGAGCCATGCCTTTGAATTAGCCACGACAACAAAAACATGATCAGCATGCTGGAGAGGACCTCATGAGACTGATGCAACATTTTGTGAAGTGAGCACAAACTCTGAAACCAGAGATGTTATGCAAACACTCTGCTCCATTTTAACCAGGAAAGTTGTGAGGCGTGTGAGACTGGCACTACATGTGTCATCATCGTGTCACTGCCCTGAAAAACAGCTTTATAAGAAGGGCAAAAATCTTGCACGACAGTTAGGCTGTTAAGAAGGTTTGTCAAAGAGTAACCAGGCTAACAACTGATTTGCTGACAGATGTTCTAAGCTATGATATCCATGAGCCTGATTTAAGGTAGACTGTTGGGTTACTCAGAAAAGATCAGCTTCATTTTCCAAAGTTTTTGGTCGTAGAAAATCATTTGCAACTGTGGAGCTGGTCTGTTTAAATGTAAATATTCATGATCCCGTCGAGCTTCTTGTCCACAGTCGAAAATCTAACATTAATAATAATAATAATAATAATGTGTTTTGGACCTGTGTATGGAAACACATTACACTTACAGGAGCTGTTGGGCTATGAAGCCCACTGCCTGGATGACTTTTACACACAATGTGGATTCAGTGACCCCACTTTACGTGTCCTGCCACTGCATGGCTGATTTGCTTTGGTTCCTAAACACTTCCTCTTTGGCATATCTAAAGGGAAGAAACTTCACAAACTGATTTGCTGGATTGATGGCTTCCTTTACAGTAACATGCTCAAGTTCAGCGAGCTCTTTAGAACAGCCCATTCTTCTACAGCGTTTCTACACGCAGACGGCGCAGATAAGTGCTTCTTGTTTTAAACACATGCTGTTGTTCTAATCAGGCATTAGATCATAATTATCTTCCCTTTCCTGCAAGTTCACCAGGACAAATTTGAAATCTTTATTCCCAATTTGCTGTGGTGTACAGGTTTGTTGCCTTTGTAGAAAATACAGCAGCTCCCTAGACGCCTTACAACACCAACTCAGTGCCACGTCCTCAGTGTGATCCTTTCCTGGTGGGAAATTCACTTTTTAATAATGTGCATTTATGACATTTAAAGTAAGACATGCTCATTTCACATTTTTTAATGAAGCAGGGTGCATAGAGCAGGATGTGATGCGGCTCATATATTAAAGCAGGGTGGGGTGGGTTGAACATCAGTGGAGGTGAGGGGCAGGGTGGTTGCACTGTAGGGTTGGGGTCCTGAGAGAGGCCGGGACGGGCCTGAGGCGCCAAGCGAGATGCAGGCGCGGCACGGCTCCAGTCTGCCAGGCCTTGGCTTTAAGAGGGTAAAGAGTGAAAGAACCAACCTTCCCGTTGATCTGAGTGGTGAGATTTGGATTGGTTTTTTTGGATGGCGGGGTGCAATGGCGATGGAGGGATTTAAGATAAAGTGAGAAAGAAAAAAAAGAAACAACGAGAGGGGCAAAATAAGGAGTGGGAGGAAGAAGACAAGGAGAAACAGAGAGAGTAAAACAGGCAAATATCTGCTTATCCGTTAATGAGTGAAAAACAGCCTGTACACATCAGTGGCACACACACACACACACACACACGCACGCGCACGCACGCACGCACGCACGCACGCACGCACACACACACACGCACGCACGCACACACACACACACACACACACACACACACGCACGCACGCACGCACGCACGCACGCACGCGCACACACACACACACACACACACACGCACGCACGCACGCACACACACACACACACGCACACGGCATGTAACAACCCAACGCAAACCCACCATGCACACAATGAAAGATACACTCTAACGTAACAAGAATAAGGCACACAGGGAGATCTCACAGTAAGGACCCCCCCGACCCCCCAGTCACACACACACTTTCCCTTCCCTGTCTTTAACACTGCTGCAGCAGCTGAGCCCTCCACAGCCTGTGAATTAAGACAGCATTAAGGAGGTGGAGGCTTGCTGACAACCAGACTTCATTAGGCACACAAAGCAGACGTTGTGTTACCGCTCACATTTATTCTGCTCATTGACTGTGGGGGGAGCTCAGCCACACAGCACCCTGAAATCAATGAGCACATAAACATGCTGCCCTAACAGGATTAATCCAACACTCACCTTGGAAATTATTCTACCATGAACCCAGTCCGTACTTAGAGCAGATTCATTTGTATGGAGGCGCTTCGGATTAGCTAACACCGAATTCAAAGGACACTTTTTACCCACTGGCTGATGAAAAGATAAACATTGATTAAAAAACTGTAGTAACAGGGTTGTAAATCTGCTAAACCCTCTGAACCTGTGAATGTTACTCTCACCCACAGACAGAGCAGATACCGGGAGCACTGAGAATAGAATAGAATAGAATAGAATAGCCCTTTATTGTCAGTGTACGTGGGAAAAAACTTTGAATTTTACCCAGTTGGGTGGATCCATATTTGGACATTGACACAATCATTGATATTTTTACAGTTATATAGTAAATATGAGCCTAAAGTGCAAACTCTCAGCTTTGATTTGAGGGTATTCATCTTTACATTGATTTACCGCGGGCTGCCAGGATGAAGTAAGTAGAGATGCTCAAACCTCCCTCCCCCTAGGCACCGCCTTAAGCTTTTCTGGGGGGAATTGCACTGTGTCTGCCCCAGGTGTGTCAGAAACCCCTCATCTAGGAGGTGCTGGTCATATGTCTGAAAGCAGTGCCTTTACTGCGGCCTCTCCTGAAAGGTCCATGGAGTAAACTAAGAGAATGTCTGGAGGAAGCTCATTTCTACTGCAAGGATCGGCAGTCCAATTCTTTTGGTCACTATCCACAGTTCCACAGTAGGCAGTAAGGGTTAGGGTTAGTAGATCAACCAGTAAATCAATGGCTCTCCCTTTATCACGAGGGACCAGTCTGTCTGTTATCATCATGCTCGACTCCTCCTCCATGCTACAGTATCAGTAGTTCCTTCATCTGTTCAACAGGTGCAAAGTTTGGAAATAATTTCAACTCAACCGTTCTGAGTGATCACAGGATCCTTGTGATGGTAGAGAAACACTATCAGGAGGTAGGAACAGCATTATCCACAAGTTCACCACGCTGTGAAAATTTCAGATCAGTCTGTAACAAAATTCCAAGAGAGAAACTTATAGACTCATGATCACTGACTAAAAACATGCTGAAGACAGTACGAAGTCAGGGCATGTTTGATTTTCAGTGGCACTGAGTCACTGCTGTTTACTGATGATGTGACATATGACAGAAGTGTGAATTCTGAATTGGGCGACACGCCTTCTGCTCAGAATCAGCATATTTCTGCAGGATTGACAAGACGGAGCAGATGGGAACGTACGTAATGACCCAAAACATGCTTGAAAAACAAACCCAGAAGTTTTTAGAGGTAAAGTGGCTGACTGTCAGTCGAAGGCTGCCGAAGAAAAGAGCTGCAGAAAAGTCTGGAATCAAAGAGTCATAAAGAGAGCTGTGGTTTCAGGGAGGCGCTTCCTGCAAAAGATTCTGGACAAACTATTAAACAGAAACATTTTATTCCTCATTATGTGAATTTGTACAATGACCAGTTGTTTGGTGGTTCATTGGTTTCAACCCCTTGAAATAAAGCTGAGAGTCTGCACTTGCAGCATGATAGTTTCATTTGAACTTTACTTGTGTCACTGTCTTAAGAACCAACTGTATTTTCTGTATATTTTATAAGCTTTACATAAGCTGCATTGACTTACACATTTTTAGGCAACTTAATAACGAGGCTTTTCCAGTAAGTTAATGAATTTAGAGGTTTTGAGATGCTGCTGATGTAAGACTTGCCATCCATTAGTGCCACAGCTTACTGGAAAGAAAATATTGTAAAAACAAAAACAAAAAAACCTCAACTGTCAGTCTATAACCCACAAATGACAGGATCACACGTCTGTGGAACTGCAAACTTAATACTAAATGAAGGCTTTTAATTTCTTCCCTATTTTTACAGCTTTGAAAGCTCAACAAAAGTTAGTGAACCTTCAGTAAATATGAATTACTCTTTGCATTTTTATCCAATTTTCTCTATATAGGCACTAAAATATTATTAGACCCCATCAATCGTATGGTTATGTTAAAGTGCATCTTTAGGACACTAAAGCCAGTTGATCTGCAATGTTTAAGTTAAAGAAATATTTAAAAGCTAAATGGACCAAAGAACTTCCTGTGCTTTCCAAGTAATGTCTTAAAACGTGGACTAAATAGTGACACACATTCACTCCCAAAATAGTCTCTCACGTCCATCAGAAGAAGAAGTGAAAACAAAGCATGTTAAACAATAAAATGCAGCTGTCTTCATGTGCAGATAGGAGGATAAGCATTGAGACATGAGAAGTAACATATACGGTCAAAGTATATGACTGACACCTGAGTGGAAACGAGACCAGAGCGACAAATATAGAGAAAGAAACTAAAAAGAGATGAAGACAGACACTGGTGGGGAAGGAAGACAGACACACTGGCAACATATCTGTGACATATGTTGCAGTGATTGCTCAGAAGCCACAGTGTGAGATGAAAATGGAAACGCAAATACTGGCACACCTAGAGAGGTTACAGGTTAAATCAACACAGGCAGGAACCTTGAAAAGAGAAGCAGAAACAGAACAAGTCACATGCTTTATGTTCTCACTTTGTTGGCTGCGGTTCCTGTTGGTGGCTCAGTGGAGGATGCGTCTTGTAAAATGACATCAAATATGTACATTTATGTGGAAACAAACAAAGTGTCCTCAAAACTATGCCTGAACTTTCTTCACGACCGAGATGGTTAACTGACAGTTCTCTTTAGTTCCCAAAGGCAAGTTTTTTATGTTATTCTGAGTGCTGTGCTACGATCTGTTATTTGGAAAATGATGCACATGCCATGTTAAGTAGATAAAAAATGTACATCTGTTCACACATATGTACTTTCAAGAAAGGCACACACACACACACACACACACACACACACACACACACACACACACACACACACACAATGGGGCAAATTTGGCTATAAGTTCAAGTGTATTTCAAAATGAATGAATGTGCTTTTAAACTTACAGTCACATGCTCTATCACGTCTTTTGCCCATTTTTGCGTTGCTTTGTTTTCCCGTGTTAGTATTGTTTCTGTACCATTTTCATTAACGCTGCATCAGGATCGTCACTCCTGCTGTTTTCGCTCTGCAGTTTCATTGAAGAATACTGGAAAAGCACCACATACTTAACCTAAACCTCACAATACATTTTAAAAAAGGTTTTCCCTCGAAACGTTTCCTGCCAAAGAAAGTGAAACTGCAGAAGATGACACCAGGTGCAACTCCTGTCAGGAAGCCTGCAGGACTCAGCCTCACCAGACTGAACAACAGAGGCTGGAAGTGTTGCTGATCTGATGAGCCTCGGTTTCTGTTGGACTTCAGATACAGTCAGAATCGGCTATGATCAACACAGAAGAAAGGATCCGTCCTGGCTCGCGGGATATTTCCTTGGTAAACTTTTGTATCAAAGTAGCAATGTTTACATGCATAAATCCCACGAAAACCAGCTGCTACTGATTTTGATTGAACACAGGACACAACTTTACAACTTGAATTCATCCATTAAATGACCAGAGTCTGCTCTATTAGTATATCCACATAGTAAAAATAACATTTTGGCAGGGAGTTGATTTCCATCTTTTTCTGCAACATCTGCACCCTTATTGTTTTCCTGTTGGACTATGACCTTCAGCATCCTACACCTGCTATGATGTGTTCACTTTATAATATCCAAGCAAGCTCAGTGTGGTGTATACAGGAGTTATCTTAACATGAAAGGGCAGAAAATCTGTTTTTTTTTCTCTTAAATGTCAATACTTTGTCACTAATTACTCAACAAGCTTGACTACTGCAAAACCTTTCTATCTAGTTTACCTGAAATTGTTATAAATCATCTCCAACTAATCCAGAATCCTACAGCCGAGTGCCTACGAGGGCCAGAAGGAGAGAAAACATATTACAGCAGCTCTGAAGTCCCTGCAGTGGCCTTCTGTCAGTGACCTTATTGACTGCATTTCTTTTACTTGTTTTTAAAGCACTTCATTGTCTTGCTCCACTATATATGTCTGACATGCTGACAGTGTATGAACTAGCAAAGACCCTCAGGTCCTCCAGCACAAATCTGCTAGTTTTTCCAAAGTAAAGGACACATGGGGAGGCAGCTTTTAGCTTTTATGCCCTGAGCTGCTGGAGCAGTCGGAGTGGAGGAACTGAGAACAGCCGGAAATGTTGAGAACTTGAAACTCAAAACCCGTCTTTGCTCCTTTAAAAACTATTTGAATCTGTTTATCTGTACTTGTTTGATCTCATTACATGTTGCTTTGTCCTGCTATGGACTTGTTGAACCACTTTGGCCTGAACTAACCTGCAAGAAGTCGTTAAACGACTAAAGTTTCAGGGTTTCTGCAGCAGATCTGTGCCGTGGGGATCTCATTGCTCCCTGTGAGAATTCTTCCTGCTTATGTTGAATATAGAAAACATCTCCACAGTATGACCTCACTGTATAAACAGAGTCCTTGTTCTCCGACTGAGAAGGACCTGTCTGTACTGTCAGCTTCACTAACATTGCTGGTATTTCATTGAGTTGTGTGAACTGGGTCATGACGTCAGACAACAGGTGCATAAAATCAAAGCTGCTGCCTCTAAAGTCTGTCATTTGCATGTTTCTTGAGCTGAACGCTGCAACTTAATGCTTGAAATCGGGCATTATTCTACCATCAGAACAGAGCATGTCATCTTTGGGTGTCAGCTAGCGAGCTACCTTTCTGCTACCTTCTAATCCTCTTTTCCATGGAAGAATGTTCTTTTACCACCTTGGAGAACAGCACTGGAAGAATTTGGACTGTTTTTAACTCTCAGTGGTACCCTGATGCTTGTTTGAAATTAAAGGAGCATGTAGATCCAGAAATGGCTAATAATGCCAGACGTAACAAGCAGCTAAAATCCAAGCTCCTGTTTGTAGTTCTGTGCTGGATGCGGTAATTTAAGTGCTGAAACTGGGCCCGAATCTTACCCACTGACTCCAGTGGCATGTAGGCTTGTTGGCAGGACACAGGGTCATTGCAGGTATCTCCTCCCTTCTTGTGCAGGTGGAATGAATCAAAGAACGAATTTCACACATTAGCTGTGTGATCAGAGATGAACGTGTGAGGGAAAAATCAAACATCTCTGCCTGTCTTTGTTTGACACACTGGGGGAAAATAGATTGTGGGGCAACGGTTTAAGAAGCAATGCTCGACATGATCGAAAACACGATACAACAGCTCCAGTTAAACAGCACTAAAGATTTGGTAACAGCTGTATTTATTATGCAGAAGCTTTCAAATGATTTTAAGTCCGACTGCATCAAAGAGAGCTGTCAAACAAAAACGAGATTAAAAGGAGAAATGAATCAACAGCATGCTTTGAAAATTGCCTTTGAGAACCTGATACTGGCTGAGGCTAATTGAGTTGTTTGTTGACGAGACTTGAGAGAAAGCCTGAGGCTTCCTTTCACCCTGCTGGCTTTGCTGCTTTACATCCAGCCAACTGCATGGAGGGGATTTCCTCTCCACTTTTTCCCCATTTGCGACGTGAAGGTGTCAGCTTCCCTTTGGAGGCAAGACCCCACACGTAAAACCTCCACTGCCCCAAAACTAAAAGGCAGAACCGCAGCCAAACTCTCTTTCACCCCTGACGAGTCAAAACATCCCCCCAGGTCACTGTGAGGTTAGGCAGGTCAAGCAAAGTAACAACAGAGCAGAGGAGCAAAATACATAAATCAGCACCCAGGAGACAGAGACGAGACAGAGAGGCAGAAAGATCAGGAAATGACAGTGTGAGGCTGGAGGTGTGATTTTCGCTGCAGTCACATCCGGAGAGGCAGTTTTCCTGTTAGCATTCAGGAGGCAGAGCTGGAGGTGACGAGAGAGCACCGTTTCTGCTGCAGGCGGTGACCCGAACGGCAGCAGGGAGGGGGGCGGCCGAGGTCAAGAGGGAGCTTACCTCGAACATAAAGGTTAGCTGGAGCCGAATAACGAGTCCCGGCGCTGTTGACAGCCACACACTCATATTTGCCCTGGTCCGACTCCTCGCTGTTTTCAATCTGAAGCGCTCCTGGGGAGGGAGGTTAAAATGTCACAGTTAAGATCTGCACCACACACACGTGGAGACACACAGACACACTGTTAGCCTGATCGTCCAAACGGAAAGCTCCCCTTAACTTGGCTGAGCAGAAATCTGAATCCAAATCTATACAACTAACTAACAAGTTTTCTTCAAGTCGTATCATTTGATCTTATTATTTATGACAACTTTAACAATTAGCTGTTATTGTGCTGACTCAGGCTTTCCAGCATTTTCTCATTCCAGGGTTTCAAATACTGACATTTGTCAAGATATGCACAGCTATGGTAGCCGTTCTGCGACACATCAGGTTTATGACAACACGTCTTTCACTCCCAACTTGTATGAAGTCTTTGCAGGGCTTCATATTTAAACCATAAGATAACCTCTTGGTTTCTGCAGGCTACATTTTACTGAAGATGAATATTGGATGTTCTATCTGCACAATTAACCACAAAAGCAAACCACATTATTTATCAGATAAATTCATTAAAAATAGATACTTTAAAATCTACAGTTTTCCATGTCAGCAAAGCAAAACATGAACATGTAACAAACAAACTGTAGTCCCCCCATATGAGGGGTATGTTGGGGAAAAGTAGTTCTAAGTACAAGAAACGTTTTTTAGTAAAGTTTTGTAAAGTTGTTTTTGTAAATTTATGAAAATGACTGTTATTCTTGAACCTCTCATTCTTCTTTGATGGCTTTGAAAGACAAGAACTCCTTCAGTGTATCTTTGCAACATCAGACAGAAAAGCAGCATTCGACACCCTGGGATAGAAATGCACTGGCACAGCTGTCGCTGTCAACAGTATAGCTAAAATGTCTTGTAGAGACACAACCATGTAAATGTGATTCTTTTTTAAAGGGAGCCTGTTCTGATGTTCCTTATTTTCTGTCACAGATGTGCTGTTCCAAACTTGGATGTTAAACATCCAAGTTTGGAACAAAAACGTTTTTTTTCTGAATGAGAATAAACTGAGCGGCCAATTTAAGATCAAAAAAGGAATATTGTGAGATCTGAATCACGCAAAGCAACATTAGCTGAGCTCTACAATACAAACCTGGACCTGGAAATGAACAGAACAGATTCCATTTAATGAAACTGCTTTTGTTCAAATGGATGGGAATTGAAGACATTTGTTTGAAAGTCTAAATAGGCGATGTGCTGCTAAACACAATCGGCCATGAAATGTAATTTCCTGTTTTTCTGGCAACACCATTTCAAAATTGACTGCTGCACTACAGGATTCCCAAGAAGCAATCTGAGCTGTTTATTCTGACTGTCAGTCAAAACACTTTCAAATTGTTGAACAGAAACAAGTGAAACAGAAGACTTTGGCCTAATTGCTGAAAGTGTCCCAGGGATTCAACAGCTTGTCATTTTCAGATGTTAAAATGTTAATGCATGAAACCCCCGACTGTTCAAAGCCTTCAGTAACTAAACTAACCTCCACCGATCACTGCTATATAAACACACAATACATACCTGACATGGTGATCTACATCCAATCACACCAAAAAGCTTCTTTTGCAATTTCATAGCATTTAGAAACATGTAAAATGAGCTGTCATTGCTGAGGTTAGCTTTGAGAAAGAAGCAACATGTGTTTAGTAATAATGTGGTTTTATGTGCTGACCGTGACATACATCATGCAGTGTAGCAGCGCACAGTAAAAACTATGAGAAATAAAAATGTACATATTTCAGAATACAATCCTGAAATGCAACATGGGATGGGTGTGTGAAGCCGGTTTAAGAAAAGAAAACATGTGTGTGGCAGCATCCCGGGTGGATCTGGTGCAGACAGTGAGCCCAGAGATGGAGGAGGAACAACCTTCATCTGGGATGCAAGGACACTGTGCAGCGATGAATGTCCTCAAACAATCTCCCACTCTCTCTCGTTCTCTCCATCACACACACACACACACACACACACACACACACACACGCACACACACACACACACACACACACACACACACACACACACACACACACACGCACACACACAGACACACACACGCACACACACACACACACACACACACAGACACACACACACGCACACACACACACACACACACAGACACACACACGCACACACACACACACACACACACACACACACACACACACACACACACACACACACACACACACACACACACACACGCACACACACACACGCACACACACACAGTACATGTACACATCAGAAATCCTTGGGTCAAAATACTGATTAAGAGCTCTACTTTCTAAAGTTTCTCCCAAAGAGTGTCCAGGCGACTGAGGAGCGATACGTCACGTTGCTGAAGATTGAATCATTCTCTATTTCCATTTTAGCGATGACTGTTTGTCTCATTGGACATTCTGCACCTCCTGAAGGAAGCAGCATTTCAGGAGAAAGTGCGTCACTCTCTCCTGAGCTGATGGATGTTTGCTTTGGCCTCTTGGCACCAAAAAGGCTGACGGGTGCGGCAGGAGAGGGTGTCTTGTCACACATAGAAACGTCTGAAGCCCTGAACAGAATGTTGTTCTCTACCAGAACTTCCTTTACCTTCACACCTCGAGCCATGTATGACTGCGTATGTAGCATGTATGAGTGGGAACCATGTAAGAGCGAAATGTTCTAGGAACGGGCCGATCCAATCTGAAGCTTATCTGATTTATTACATTTCAAGGCAGATTCACCGCATGACTGCAAAGATTGTACCAGTCGGCTGGGGTAAAGAGATGGTTAAAGCGATGCTACCAACTGACCATTCGGTCTGCTTTACCACCCTGATTTGTGGCCATGAGCGGTGGGTAGTCACCGAAGGAAGAGCAGATGAAGAAAACGGCGTCTTTCTGTTTGTCAGAGAGAGGGTGAAGACCTCCGAGTACAGCACTGCTCTTACACATCGAAAGGGCTCGCTAAGATTTGGGCATCTGAGTACAATACCTCCTGGATGAGATCCAGCCTGGTAATCAGTGTGAGCACAGACTCACTCCAGTGGGGAGAAATCATTAGAAAATTCATGCTGATTGACACAAATTGTTGTGCTTTCATGCTGACAGAATGAAAAAGAGACACAGAACTTTAAACAGCTCCTTTTGAGACACTTCGCGTCCAATTCTTCATTTATTTTGGAGGGTAAATAATAATTGTTAGGCACTCTTTAAAATATGAGTCTAGATTTTAGTGAGTCCTCTGCATGCCGCTGTCCTTCCTTCCACACCATGAAAATGGAGTAAAACAGCTGTTTGATAGAAAGCAGCTGCAGTTTGTCTTCAGTGCTGCATTGTCATTCTGAAGGTGCACTCTTCCTTCTTGCATGTGTATAGTAAGTAGCAGCAAAATACAAACGATTGCATATTATATCAAAAAGGCATTATTTTGCATTTGATAAAAAAAATGTCCAACTCTGTTTTATACAACCTGCAAACTCAACACTGTTCAGCTGCGAGACTTCAACCAAAATAAGTACTCATGAAGCTCCGCAGACAGGCATTATTTACCCTGGTTTTCTGAATTGGAAAACTTTTTACCCGCCTCTTTCAAGACCATACACACCTGTGCACGGTTATGTGCTGAAGGCAAAGAAAGTGTTGGAACAGGCAAAAGGACAGAGGGCTGGAAATGGGGACACACCAAGGTGGAGAGAAGGATGAAGGCGATGAAGGAGAACGGGAGGATGAGTAGATGTTTTTCTGTAGCCAGCATTCTTACCTCTTATTGGTGTACCACCTGTGAGGTAATTTGAATGCAAATAAGATTAAAGATAAGCATTAGTATAAAGAGCAGAAGTGAAGCAGAAAGACAAGAAGGCAGGAGAGCAAACAGGTAAGAGGAAGCTAGGCTCTCCCTACTCAAAAAACATCATCTCTGTAAATAGTTCTGATATTATTCAGCGCTGAACAAGTTCAAGTGTTGGCACAGAGGGAGAAATAAACTGAATGTTTATTTTCAACCAAAACCAATTTCATAAATGACAACTGTGGAAAATGTTTTCTGAGTGAAAACCATTTTCTTCACTAGACACGTGATTTATTTTCCCCACGAGATCTGGAAAGCACAAACAGTTTCAGTAATGCATCTTCACACAGCTCCGACTGGCAGACTGTCATTTGTGCATCTACTTATTTACTGTAACACGGTACTTATTTGAGTTGCACACCTGGCTACTTGCGCCACAGAGCTGGCTTCCTGTTGTGATCATAAAGCTACTCATCATAAAACCCCACACCTGCTTTTTCCCTGAAAGCACCAAGCTGTCAAACACTTGACCCTCATTCACCAACAACAGGCCTGCTTCGCGGTGCTTTTTCATGTTCTCCTGCAGAACACAGCCTGCTCTCCCTCTGATGCAATGCACAGAAACCGTCATGCGTCCTGAAATGTGCTCTTACGTTGCTGCGTCAGTGGCTGAGAACTGTACTAGCTTCATAATTAGCACAGTGCATTAGCATACTACAGATGTATTTTTGTAGCACTTGTCACTTTATTTGGGTCATCTAAATGCTCATCAGTGTTTTGTCTGTGCAGCGTTCATGATCTGAGGTTTGTTTCTCCCAGTATGGATGCTTCTGACATTAGTTTCTACACATTAAATGTTGTGTTTTAAACAGTCAAGGCAGATATAATGACAAGAGACAAAGATTAAGATCGTCTTCTTTTATAAAGAAATGTTGTTAATTAAAGGGAGACATGGTGGTGAAAATGTAGATTTTTTGTACTTTCCTCTCTGCCTTTAACTTTGAGACAGTTTTGCTTCCCTCACAGGTGAATGAAAATTTTACTTTAGAATTTTGCCGCTATGACCTGATAGCAGATGCTTCTCTGCATGGCTTTTGCATATTCTACCTGTACCTGCATATGTGTCCTCCAGGTATCCTGGCTAACTACCACAGTACAAAGACATCCTGTTGTGTTAATTAGTGATTCCAAAATAAGTGTCTATGGATAAGAGGCAGTGCTTAAAGTGTATATGTGAATATATAAGATGAATGTGGCTTGTAGGGTTTCAGGGGTCAGCCCGTCCATTTCCATTCTCAAAGTGCCTTTTTCCTCCCACTTGAAGTCGCCAATCAACACTTTTGTTTCCTTCTGTTTTCTGGAAGTTTTAACAGAGGAATTTTTTCAGAGGCTGATCCATGGAGCAATTTATTCATAAAATTAGATTTGTTTCTTGCTTTTAGAGATTTCCAAAATTCCCTTCCAAAAGCAGAAATTGGCTCATTTGTTTTCATCCTGTTCTTCTTTAGTGTCTCCCCTTTAGCTCAGTTTAGATAGTATTTTCATACAATAGCTAATAAAAGATAATAACGTACACTTAAACAAATGTATTAATTATCACAAATGCATGGCTGTAAATAAGTGTGTCACTGTCTGATAACATAAAGCTTGATAACTAACAGCTCTACACTTCTAATGACTGCTTAGGCCAGTTTCAGCAGTTTTAATGTGAAGGTTCAATCAATAATTCCTCGCTTAAAGTTTGGTTGCCGATGACTAATTATTCCACTTTCTGGCTATAATTCAACCCTGAAGAGTTCTGAGTTATTTTGGTTTCACCAGGTTGTATCAGTCCTCTTTATTTCAGGAGAGATTAAGTATTTCTATTTTTAAGAAGCACACAAACCCTCCTGGTTAAATACAAACGATGCGCTCCTTTCACTCTGTGGTGTAATAGTTGAGTCTGTAAAATGAAACCAGTACATAATCTGTATTCTTTCTAGTGGCCAAACACAAAATGACCCTACTGCTCATTAGATCCATGACCTCACTAAACACTTCTTTCGTATTTAAAAGAAAAAGTTTGCAAAACGCTATGTTTCAATCGGCAAGTCACTTTCTCAGAACAGCAGAAATGATCACTCGTGTCTAAAGCCAAGATGGTACCAAAACTGCAGTGTCCATCTTTTATATACAGCCTATGATTATACGTATAATAGCCTCTGGAGCTGTCTGATAGTCAACATCGTTATTGCATCACAGACATATAAGAAGGCTACGAGCACACTAAACTGTTTGAGAAATGCACACATGAATCTGCAAAGAGTGGACTTTCCACTTTGTTAAAACCATCTTTAATTCTAAATAATAACATGAAAGATTCTGGCCTGCAGAGAGCAAATGAAGCAGACAGCTGCCAACAGTTCCTCTTTTAATGGAGATAATTGATTTTAATAAGCTGCAGTTAAGCAAACTGTTATTGTAGGTGAATGAAATTTCGGGTCAACAGCTACATGAACCTCATCTTCACCCCTTGAAGCCGGTTAAGACGCTGTTAAGGAGAGTTCAGTTACAATTACAGCTTGTTGTTATTCAAACACAACACTCAAATTCCTATTTACATAATGTTAATTGTTCAGCCTGCTGCTGTTCATTCTGTAATTTACTGGTGTAAGTAAAAGGAACCATTTGAGCATATTAGGTCATATGCAACAAACGGACGAGAGAGAGGGATGGTTACTATGCAGATTCTCCTGATCTGGATAATAAACCAAGCCGCTTTGACAGGAAAACAAAGTGTCAGATACAGGTGGTGAAGAGGAGCCCTGGAAGCTGTGTGGCCCCGTGAGCTGATGAAGGAGACATCAGCAGCTTCCAGAAAGCGGGGCTGGACATTACCGAGACCTGCCATGACTTCCCTCTCACAGCTGCCTGACAGCTGGATGGATCCCACTGCAGCAGGAAGTCTGTTATGACAGATTCAGGGCAGCATTGTGAAAAATAATACGGTTTTATTATATTTTCACAATGTTTGGATTGGAAGGATTATTTTGTTTCCGAAGTAGAGTCCACCAAGAGTGAGTGCAGTTCTATCTTCATATATCAGCTGAGTCCTTGTATGAAACTGTGTAAAGTAAAAACCTCCAGCTTTGTTTCAGTTTCCTTTTCCAAGCAGAATGAAGCAAAAACATATCATCTGACTGGCTGTTAGAGGGGCTGACATTGATGTTATCTATCGGTTTCAATGCGGAGCAATGATGCTGCTTTCAGACTACACAACATTTTTATCTGTTGAGGTGGTCGCTGACTCAGATCAGGCGATTACAGAGTCATAAAATCTGGAGACAAATCAGACTACATCTTGCTCCTGAGGCTGGCTAGACAAGCAGATACTACTGTGTTGCGGTGTTCACAGCTCCATCCAGCTGCACTGACATGATCCTTACTCTTTATAGGTCTTTAAACTAAGGTGGTGCTGTCTTGTTGATGCCTAATTACTCAAAGTCACAGAATTGAAGGAATCACAGTGGAAGACAGAAAATAATTCTCCCCTCCCTGGAGAACACCTACTGCTATGCACAGTGCTCACTGTCACTCTCAACATGAAGTTTCACCTCTTGTTGGAAAGATTTTGAAGAGGACAGTCTTTAGTGTTTTCAGAAATCACTCACTTTAAAACTTCTCTGTTCTTTGCACCACAAGGACAATTTATTGGACGTTTGGTGTGAACAGAAGATGGCGCTGGGATGGGAAAGGTTCTGAGAAAGGTGGGCACTTTGGGGTGTCACTGCTGTCTCTGGGGGTTAACCAAAAACAAACAACTGCACACTGAATTATTGCGTCTTCACTGAATTTGGATGAATTACAAGATTATCAGGTGTTTGATCTTATTTGTCTTCTTGTTGAACCTCACAGACTGAGGCTGGAATAGTTGTACTGTAAGCTCGATCCGAAGAAAAAAAAAGTCAGATAATCTTTGCTTGGATTTCTTTTGGTTTCAAATCTGTATCTTCACCATTTTAAACTTCAGTTCTACATGACTGAAATACCAGTTTAAGAACATCTGGCAGCAAAAATAACTGAAGTGGGATCTCCAGATTTCATGAGCAGGATCACACCTCAAACCCTTCCTGTAAGACGTCTATAAACCAGCCCGCCTGCCTGTATCAAGCTCAGACCCCACTGAGGTGTTACGTAAGCAGCAGCCGCTCCCTGAGAGTGTTGCTTCTCATTTATAGAACAACATTATCAGTAATAAGTAGGAAGGTTGTGGTCCTTGCTAGTGAAGTCTCACCTACAAATTAAAGTTGATTTCTTTCTGATTTCCAAAACGTGGTCTCAGAGGTTTTCAGTGACTCGCAGCAGTGTTCAGCTGAGTCGCAGGTTTGTGGTGACTCGGAGGTGAACGTTGCACCCCACGTTTACTGCAGGGCTGTCGCATCGCTCCTCTTCTCTGGGTCTCATTGTTCCCCCCGGACAGTCAGATCTCATCCTGAAACTTTGTCCCTCATTGGTTTCACATCTTTTATTGAAATATTGGCAGGAAAAAACCATGCAGAAGATTTTTATGTTTTTTTTCTTCAAACAGAGCAAAGGCCTCAGATTGAAAAAGAAAGAAGCTATTAAAGTTTTAAATGGATCAAAGGCATTTAAAAGGAACTAATATAGTCACTCCTCTTTATAATGAAAGCTACTGAAACAAATAATCTGAATAACTCTGAGGGGCTGACTTTATCTGTTTCACTTTGCTGGCGTGCCACTGGATAACTCTGATTTTTCCAATAAAGGAAGCCATCTGTGCTCGACTGCAGAGGGACTCCATGTGACAGTGGGGCTCTATGAACCAAATTAAAACAAATTGCCGTGCTGTTCAGTTAATAATATATGGCATTTTTGTCCCTACCTGAGGCCCTGACTGTGACTTGGGAAAATCCTGGGGGTGAACTTCAGTGTCAGCGATGTCCCAGAGCATGTCTCTCAGCCTTTCGTCTCCAGCCTGTATTGAGATGCAAGCAGCCTCAAGAGGGGCCCCGGGCCCGCTGAGATGCAAAATCGGCTTTTTAGCACTGCTGCAAAGCTGGGAGGGATGTTTGAACCTGAAGAGCCGATCCAACGATGCGTAGGTGCTTACGAGTTTTGGCAAGACTCAAACATTTCTATTTTCTCTCGGAAAGTGAGCAGAAAGGGCAGCTGATAGGTTGCGCAGGGCTCGGTTACTCAGCCATCCAGCTCTGCTGTGAGCCGCTCAGCCCGGATTGGTGGAATGAGATGCACTATCTGCTTCTTTGGATGCTGGCAGCCTCCTCACAGAGCTGCTTTACAGGGCTGCCTGTGCTTTAACATTCATCACCGTCTGTGGGGTCTTAAGCACTCTTGGCACGCCAATAATCCTGCACAGGTGCTGCTCAGGTAATTACTGAATCTATGAGGTTCTGTTCAAAGTAGGAAACATTAGCCTCCATCATTTGCTTAATGTGTACTTTACTCTTAGCAACTTCAGTTGTTGCTTACCACTTCACCTTAAGTGTTGTTATTTTTTATGTCATTTTTGTGATCAGTCGTCTGTGCTATGGTCACGAGTCTATAAATGCATGTAAACACAAACCAAATCCCATTAAGAGACTTATTACAGTATATCCAGTAAAACAGAAACTGTGTTCAACACTAACAGTATGACACTGACAGGCCTGGATGCTAATATCTGAAGGAATTGTTAAATGGCTCAGAGAAGTCCCAGGCTCGGAGAGGTCCACTACTCAGCCAGACTTTCTTTGCTTATACTCGCTCAACCAAACCTAAAACCCCAGTTAGAGATAACCGGTTTTACAGCAGCGTTCATCAACTTTCGCTGCTGCTTCAGTTTCACTCTTCCTCTGTAAAAATGGAGCAACTGAATGTTGCCTTCTTCAGGCTTGTTCCTCTGAGACTATGTCAGTATCTCAAAGTCTGCATCATGTTCCAGCTCCGACGGGGCTGCTGGAACTGATTGCATCTACTCGAGACAATACTTGCAATTGAAGCGTCACAGCAGAAGGCCTGAGAAGCAGTTTTCCCCTCTGCGTCACTTAAAATAGGGCTGGAATATCCATTATTTTATTTATTTTTTTAAAGATTATATATATATGAAGCTGCACAGAGCACAGAGTAAACATATTTGTATTTATCTGTAACTTTATTAACTCCATATGAATTCATATGTTGCACTTAAGAGTACAAAAAAAATCTGGTGCGTTTCACGTCTGCATAGCCGATACAAGTTAGTACGATGCTCTAACCAGATGAAGGGAGAGCCGTGATACTGACAACTCTGACACTCCTTAGTACATCCCTCTTGTTGGTGAAAACATAAATGGACTCTCATTCAATACATATAAATATTGTATTGCACAGACAGTGCAGTGTTATTATGATATGTGGATTCTCCTCAAACTCTCACGATTGCACCTTTTCAACAGGTTTTCTACTAATTAAAAATGAATGATTAACGCCTGAAGAATCCTGTGCCTCTCATTGCTTAACAGAAATCTGTGTGTGAACCGACTGAGATGATTGCTTTACCTGATCGCAGCTGCTTAATGCGCCCATTGCTGCTACTAATATCCACAGGCAGGAAATCTTTGAACCAGTAGATCTCTGGATCGGGGTTTCCGCTGGCTGCACACAGCATTGTAGCCGTACGCGTTCTTTCCACAACCTTCAGCTGGGGGCCCATGTCTATGGTGGGGAAGCCGTGTGGTATCTGGTCCTCTGTAAGACAGACAAACACACATCAGCACTCCTGGACACGATACAGACGAGTCTCAGCCTGGCTCTGTCAGATTTTCTCTGCTCATTCCACAAACCTTCAGGTTGTAAGGTTTCCCCCCGTGAAATTCAAACACAGTGAAATCCAGCTCTAATGTAAGTATGGCGGGGCCACTGCATGACTAATCCTACCACAGAATTCCTCGTCATGGATCTGTGTGAACGAGAGCGAGGGCGATGCAATTTCACTGCCGGTAAAATGCATTGTGACAGAAAAAGGCTCCTACCAAGCACACATAATCTGACACGCTCGATGCAGTCAGATCACAATCCTGCCAAATTACAGACCAAATGTAATAAAATCACAGGCTGAAAATCCCATTCCACACCTCTGTCCGTGCCTCCGAGGAAGGACAGTTTTACACACCTACTTGAGCTTTTCTCATACAATAAACCACAATTATTTAGATTTCTAATCTGTAATCTTTCCTTAAAAACAGCATTGCAGAGATGTTTCAACATAAAAACGATTTCATGGGTAAATAACAGAAAATAAGGTTCTGGAAGTTTGCTTGAACCTTCAGCTACAAAACTATCAAACCCTGAAGGATTTTTTTCTGATTTCAGTATCAGGCATTGCACATCTTTCACCCCACAAGAGTGCAGGGCATGCTGATAGAAGTTGCTGTTGCTGAGTGGAAGAAACAAGCAATGTATACTCCATCCTTCCATATAGCAAGAAGCAGTATACATACACAAATCAATTAGGAAACCATTACTTCAATTACCTTCTTGTTGTAACAAAAATATGCAAACAGCATGAACAAATTCATCAAAGCTCTACAAACAGGAGAGTTTTGATATACATTGATATGAAACAATATACAAAACAGACATTACCTCCAGCTAAAAGAAGTTTCTTTAGCTGATAATTACATCAGCGAGCCGATAGAAACTGCAAAAAGCTGGAATCATTTCAACACAGCAGGTTAACAAGCACCGACTCTGGTACAGCTCTTTTCATTATTCTTCAACAGTTCAGCATGAAGCAAAGTACAGAGCAGCTAGTGAGAGGTGGCACTACATACGAGGCCTGAAGGGTCATTACGATTTGTCAGCCACTTAAGACAAACTTAAATCTTTTCTTTGTCATTTAGATTGCCTCAGTTAGTTCACAAATAAAAACCACTGCACACATTTAACATCTAATTTAACATTAGTATAATTTCCTTGGTGCCTGTCAGCATATAACATTTTACATTTTGGCTGTTCTCCACAGAGGTTCGGATGGTTTCTGTGATCAGCAATCCAAGATAACTTCTCAATAACATCCTCAAGTTTCACTACATGTTTTCATTCAATTCAAAGTCACACAGAAGAGATTCAAATAAAAGCACAAGTCAAAAGTTAAAAGTTCAGGTCAATGCAAGATTATAAATGACCAAATGTATAAAGTTGAATCAGTTTACATCTCGTTCCTGCTGTGAGCCTCTGCAGTATACATTATACTCACTTACTGCTACATTATCTAATTGAAACTATATACCCACAATATGTTTGTCCATTTTTTGTCAGTACTTTAGAAAATCTTAAATATTTGATATAAACCTGAAAGTTACATTGATGTATTGTGCACTACATCAATCAACTTAAAATATGGTTGTCACTGATATTGTTTGTACTGTTCTAGTTTTTATTTTTAAAAAAGTCCCTTTAATTTTTGACATGATAACAAGTAGTGAGTATTTTCCTTAGTATTGAGCTTGAAACCCTTGTAGCATGACAAGCCTACTACCCTGAGAAGACCCTGTGTCACACTCTAAAAGACCATGATGCAGATTTTTCAAACATTTTAGCTCACACTTTGACGAGCTCACTGTGCCATGACAGCCTAAAATAAAGAGCTTAGAATGAGTTGTGAGGAGGGAAGGAAAGATACTGCGGTGACACGTATAAAATGAAAACCCCAGGGAACGAAAGAGAGGTGACAGCCAAGATGCCTCAAAGCTGCTGGAAGATTTTCAACATCAACAAACAGCTTCTCTGCTCCACACAGAAAGCAAATGAGACCAGGCATTTGTCATGGTTTCTGCTGGCAACAGGGGGGAGCAAAACATGGAGCCCATGCAAAAGGGACCAAAAACTGCAATTCCATTAGTGGCCACTTGGGGCTGGCTCCAAAGTGAGTCAATCCTAGATGGTTACCGTGTCTTTTCGGGCTATAAGGTTCAGTATTAGTACGACTTTTGTAAGCTACGAAGCCGCACCGCTTGATGGATTGTCTGAGCATTATGGCTGCCGTACTCAGGAGCCTTGCGGAGTAATCTGGGTCCTAAACGCCGTCACTTTCAGGTCCCAAAGTCAAACGAACACTGCAGCATCACTGAGAGTTAAAACCTAAATTCTTTCATCTTTAATAAAATCATCAGCGTTGCTGCTTTACCAGGTGTAACAATTAAGTTTAACATCCAGGAATCCATGAAAAAATAATTTATTACATTTAACGGAGTTAGAAGTTAGCAGGAAGTTAGCTCACTAGCTTCCACCTAAACATGATATAGCATGTTCTGACTGAGAGATTTCTGAATAAATCCAAACGTACAGCTCTGCTATCACTTCCAACATAAATGAAGACAGAAAATTAAACAGCAGTGACGTTTGTAGGGTTACTGAAGTTGGGCTAGCTGCTATATAATGATGTGCTACGTGATCGGTAGAAACACAGCTATGTTAGCATAAACAGTGAAGCTGGAGGATGAAGCTAACTTTCTTCCACTGGATAAAAGTTAACGTGAGGGTTCCTGATGGTTAGAGACAAATGCAATCGTATGGCAGGATGCTGTAAACGGACCAAACTTCAATCAGGAGAACAACTGAGATAATCCATCCACAATACGAGGTTAGTCATTAATATACTGCAACAACATGGGAATAGAGCAGCTGCCAGAGGATTCAGCATTAATGAATCAATGGTACAGAAGAGAAGGAAGCAAGAAGGAGCTGAGTAAAGTTTGACTTATCTGACTGTTTTGTTTTGCTTAATGCGCCTTATGTATAAAAAATATGGTAAATGTCCAGCTTTACAGTAGAAAAAGACATGGTTACAATCTGGTCCAAGTCAAAACTGTAGGAAATTTCATCTTTACAATCTTTATAACTTACTTTTCAGATTATATTAAGAACTACAGTTATGTATTTTTATGGTTCTGGCTGCCAGTCACCTGCTAGGCTTCACTTCAGACAGTTCATTGAAGTAGACCTCTCAATTTTGGTGCCTCATGAAGGATTTTTCAGTGAACAATAATATGATAATAAACATGATCACTAACAGACTTTCCAAAATATCTGCTACACTTCTTGTAGTGTCTATGTATTCATAGTATTTTACTTAAATTATTGTGCAATACACTCATAAATGCATTCGTTGCTAACTACACAGTTTACTACACACTTTATGATATAAGCATAACTACAGCCCCCAGGGCTCCCTCCCCCCTTTTTTTTATGTTTTTGCACCTTCCCTTAATATCCAACAGTAACAGATTCTCAGAACCTACCAGGAAGTCCCACTGCCTTTTATTTTCTTAAAGCTCTGCCCTTTGCTCCAGTCTCTATTTAAAAGAATCAAACAGCTCCCGCTGCTCACAAATGGTGACAATAAGCTTGTCCTCCATTTCTGGCTGGTACAAGGTGGTCTCAGGAGAATCCAGCTCATAGTACCATGTAAATTCTTTGCTGAGGTTAAGATATTTTCAACTTGAGCGGATGCATATCGGCCACTATTTGCATCGATTAGTGGCAACTCTCCTACAGATTTAATGTGAACACAACAGTAGAAGGTTATTCGCAGTTTCCCCAGGAAGCTGAGAGAGTTTGGAAAGGCTTTGTATTTATTTATCAGACAGCTGAAATATGCAGCCTGAAACCGAGTAACCACTACAGCATCCTGTCTCAGATGATTTTGTTCCCGCTAACGACTACAGAGAACTGAATCTTTGACATTTTCCATGACAATAGAGCAAAGCTGGTTATGGATTTTGCACTCCTCCCAAGACACCTGATATTCATGCATGTGCTCTGCGAGTGCAGTAAAAGAGGCACAAAGTTGAGAGGAGAAAATGACTGTGTTTTTAAGCTCTACAGCTCAATCTGCTGTGACTCAGAGAGAAATATTTTGTATTAAAGTTTGTTAGAATAGGATAGGATAGAATTGTTATTGCATTACTGAAACACAAGAGGAGACTGCATTGTGCTCCAGCTGACTGGCTGTCAGTCAAAGACTGTTTACATACAGCCTACTGTAAAGAAATGTGTCATCTGACCACTGCTGTCAATCACTCTGGCTTGCTCCTTCTTTACATCAGCTCTTTGGCAGGAAGAAGAGTAACCCAACACTTTACAAAAACACAAATGCACGAAAAACCATAATCACACAAAACTATGATTTTTTTTAATTTAAATTGCCAAAATACCAGCGTTATAAAAAATATCACATTGAGGTGGGCGTCAGTCACTGAAACAGTTTTCCTAATATGACAGTCCATCACTTCGCTAAGCTTAACAGCTTCACACCCTGCACCTCTGACAGCCTCTAATGTTGAGCTGAGCTCAGGCTCTTAGCTGAACGTTAAAGTAATTCGCTTTCACTTCATTCAGCTGAGGAAGTGGATTTTCTTCACCCTCAAATGGAAATACTTTGCCCTAAAAGGTGTCTTAAATGAAATCCATGGAGGTTTTGTCAAGAAGGAAAACTGCATCATTATTAGGTGAACAGTATTTTCAATTTACACCGAACTGAGTCAACAGTGAAGTGAATAGATGAAAAGGTGAGTCCCAAAGCTTTTCTGACAACTAAGGCAGGAAATCATCAGCAAGCCTCGATCTCATCAGGAGATATTATCGCTAATCAGTAGTTGTCTATATGTAACACACAGAAAAATCAAAAAAGCAATGACGGGGGATATTAGCATCGTTAACCATAGACTGTATTTAAGTGATGGATG